CACGCGCCGCATAGTCATGGCGCCACGCGCGTTCAGCCTATACCCCGACCCGAAACGCCTGAGGTAAACACGTAACTAGATTTGACTGGTATTATTGTACTTTTTTATTTTTATTTTTTTTGTGAGATAGGGTCTCCCTCATCTGGAGTGCAGTGGCACAATCATAGCTCACTGCTGCCTCAAACTCTTGGGCTCAAGCAAGCAATCCTCTCCTGCCTCACCCTCCCAAGTAGCTGGAAGCATGCCACCATGATTGGCTAATTTTTAATTTTTTTGTAGAGACAGAGTCTCGCCATGTTGCCCAGGCTGCTCTCAAACTCCTGGCCTCAAGTGATCCTCCTGCCTTGACCTCCCAAAGTGCTGGGGTTACAGGTGTGAGCCACTGCACCAGCCAGATTTGGCTGGTTTTATTAATAAGGGCCAAAGATCCTGTCTTGGGCAAGGAGAAGGGAGGAACACACTGAGCCCACTGTCGCCATCTGAGGAGGTGGGCTGGAGTAGGTGGCCCACGAGGGAGCAAAGCTTCCCAGGATAGAAGGTGGGCAAGGGGTTATGAAGTGGAGCAGCTTCCCAGGGTAGAAGCTGGGCAAGGGGTTATGAAGGCACCAAAGAGAGAAAGGGAGACTCCACCTGTGTACCCAGCACCCCTACCCCTCATCTCTCCCCGTGCAAGATGGTGGGAGGGCAGTCCTGACTGCAGGGAAATCCACACCTGCGCCCCTTCCCCCACCGCCTGGCCCGATAGGCAAGTGCAGAGCAGGAGGCAGCTCACACTCCAGAAGGAAGAGGCACACCCTCTCCCACGGCCCCGGGTGTGTGCTGGGTGCCACACAGCCCTGTGTTCCAGCTCTCCACGAAGGACCCATGCTAGGACAGGGCAGGACAGGGATCCACCAACCATGAGGCAGCACCTGGAGGAATGGGAGGGTCAAGGGGTGCAGGAGGAGCTGGGGGTCCCTGAGGTCGGGGGCTGCCTTGGGTGCTTGGCTCTCTCCTCCTGCCGTGCCAGAAAGGGTGCTTGGGTGACAGGCACCCACATGCCTCCAGATTATAGGGTGCCAGGGCATGGTGGCAGGGTGGGCCTGGGGAATTCCCACATAGCAAACCTGGGCATCAGCCTGGTAGGGCAGAAGGGGTGTCAGGAAGCCAGGCTGTGGCTCCATGTCACTGCATGACCTCCGCAAGTTGCTTCTTCCCCTGTGCCTGGCTTTCCCGAGCTGTCGAGTGAGGCGTGGCCTCTGGGCCCCGAGGGGTTTACGGGTTGTCTGGGAGCGAGACAGAGATGAGAGGACAGGTTAGCAAGCCTGCCTGACTCTAAGGATGACTGGAGACGGTGCCCCTCTGGGGCAGTCCCTGGGGAGGCACCTCCTGGCCTGGCCAGGGATGTGGGGGGTCCTCTGCTCATGACTCACGCTTTCTGGGACTGACATTGTCCCCTGGGAGGCGCTTGCCAGGAAGGGCCTGATCTGGCCCTTTCAGCCCTGTGCAGATGTCTCAGCCTTAGCTGCGCAGGCCAGGAAAATGTTGTCCGGCTCCGCCTCACGGCAGGGAGGGGGGCGGGACTGAGATATTGGGGGCCTTTCTTCTGGACAGTGAACAGCATCTGTGCTCAGCTTGGTCACTGCCCTGGTGATTTTTGGCAACACGAAACCCTTGTCCTCAAGGACGCTGCACCCTGAAGCCTCCCTCGATCTGAGTCAGGGATCCCTGTCCGACGCGTCCCGTCTCAGCACTGGCCGCCCTTGCACAAGCCAAAACCTTGTGCTCTTTTCTTCTTCTCTCAGCCCCCAAATCTGAAGTCATTGTCCTTAGTGCGGGTTCCCTAGAAGCTGACCCTACACAGGGGTTTGGTGACCTTGATATGGTGCTGGGTCACCCCTTAGGGGTCCTGATCAGGGGAAAGGGAACTGGAATTTTATGCCCACCACATGTGATTGGTTAAGGGAGCCCCCCACTTCCGCCCTCTGGGCAGTGCATGAATTCCTGGGAGCTTCTGCTTCTCCAGGGGTTGCAGGCAAAGCTGATTCCAGCAGCGACAGATGGCGCCTGACTAGGAAATGTAGGTACCTACTGCGGGCAGAGAAAGTTCCCCGGGGGGAGGGGTAAAGAGAAGGGGGCTGGGGAGGAATCTGGGAGGCGCACGGGCAGCGCGTGCGACAGCAGCCGAATACTCTCCATTTGACCTCTATTTCTGGAAAACATTTGCTTCTCTCCCTTCCCACAGCCTCCCTTATCTGTCACCAGGACACCCAGGAGCCTCCTAACTAAACTCCCTGCAGCTCCACTAACTACTGCCCACCCAGCAGCAGAGGGACTTTCTAAATGCCTATCTGAGCCAATTTTCTAGATCGAGCTGATTTTCTAAATGCCAGTCTAGCCACTCTAACCCCCTACCCTCCGGTGGGCTCCCCCAGCCCGTAGAGGTCACAGACTCAGCTGCCCCCAGGCACAGGGAGGTGCCATGAATGAATGAACCCAGGGTGGCCACTGCAAACCCACAGGCCTCCCCAGATACCTGTTTGATGGAGACAGCAGTTGAGAAATGCGCCTCACCTCTGAGAAGATGACATATAAGTGTGATGATGGATTGGTGTGGCACAGCGATAGAGGAGTAAAGGGTACAGGTCCCATCCGAAGGAGGCAGCCTCTGCTCGGCTCCAGCAGATGGTTCTTGCAGGGCTGAGGGACAGCATGTGCGAAGGTCCTGGGACAGAAGCAGGGCAGAAACACAGGAGATGCAAAGGAAGGCTAGTGGGGCTGGAACACGGGGGAGGGGTTGGGAGGTGGGGGTAAAGGGGGGGTGAGGGGCCTGGACCCTGCACTGACAGCAAGCCAGGTGGGTTGGGGGGCATAGCAGTGTGATTCATGCCAGAGGAGATCAGGAGATCGCCTCTGGTGTGGGCAGAGTTGGGATCATTGAGGAGGGACCAGGAGACCAGGTGGGAGGTTTCTGCCATGGACGGTCCAGGCGGGAGATGACATGGTGTGGACCTGGGCGGTTGCCTTAGGGAGGAGGGGATGAACAGGCCCAGGATGTGGCGAGGAGGCTTTGCTGAAGGGCCAGGTGTGGAGCCAGGAATGGCTGTGGCTGCATCTCAGTGGACTGGAAGCCTGGAGGTTCAGAGAGGGAGCCATCTACTCCACAGTGCATCTCACTGCTGCTTCTAGGAGCCCTCAGGGTACCTGGGCAAAGACTGTCCTGGAGGGTCCTAGAGCCCCCTGGGGAGGGGAGGAAGGGCACCCGCGCTCCCGCCCTGTCCGTGAGGTCAGATCAGCCCCACATAAGTTCTGGGGTGCCCCCACGTAAGTTCTGGGGAAGGGAGACGAAAGAGGAAAAGGACCCAGGAAGCACTGCACAATCCAAGAAGGGGCTGTGCACATTGGCTCCCGCCTGTAATCCTAACACTGTGGGAGGCTGTGGTGGGAGGATCACTTGAAGCCAGGAGTTCAAGAACAGCCTGGGGAACATAGTGAGACTCCCATGTCTATAAAAAGTTTAAAAGTTTTTTTTTTTTTTTTAATAGAAAAGCTCTGAGAAGGGGTGGAATCCCTAAAACATCTCCCACGCTGCATACCAGGTGCTGGTGCCGGGTCTGCTCACTCACCTGCAAGGTGGTGTGAGGGGGGCTGGAGTCCGCCATTGCAGGCTGAGGACTCAGAAGCTTGGAGAGGGAAAGGCCCTGCCCAAGGCCACCCAGCTAGAGGGGGAGGGTGTCATCCGCAGTGCAGTCATGATGCCCCCATCTCTTCTTGCTCTTGAAGCCATTCAGAGGCCGCCTGCCCCCATCACCAGCCCCCTGTCCTCCTGTCTTCAGCAAGCCCTGGCCAGAGTCGTGACTTGCCTGGGACTTTCCCTGTCCTGGCCTTGCAGGGTTTGGTTCTGATTCTCAAAGCAAAATTGCCTCCTCTGTTGCTAAACCGTCTTCCTGGAGGATGGCGGGTTCCCAGACAGGCTGTTGTTGGCAGTAGGGGAGGAAGGAATATGCAGGGGGTGTCCCAAGGAGCTGCTTATCATCTTCCAGGCTCTGTGCTGAAGGCCGTGCGTGTTCTCCATTTTTTTTTTTTTTTTTGAAATGGAGTCTCCCTCTGTTGCCCAGGCTGGAGTGCAATGGCGTGATCGCAGCTCACTGCAACCTCTGCCTCCTGGGTTCAAGTGATACTCCTGCCTCAGCCTCTTGAGTAGCTGGGATTACAGGTGCCCACCACTACACCCGGCTAAGTTTTGTATTTTTAGTAGAGATGGGGTTTCACCATATTGGCCAGGCTGATCTTGAACTCCTGACCTCAAGTTATCCACCCACCTCGGCCTCCCAAAGTTTTGGGATTACAGGCATGAGCCACTGCACCAGGCTTGTGTTCCCCATTTATGGAGGAGGAGATGAGACACGGTGAGGCCAGGAAGCAGACACAGACAGAGCCCATTAGAGCCCTGGGTCCCCCACTCGGCTTTTAAATTGTGTGATTTGGAGGAAGAAGAAAATCAAGTACCCTATGCAACTCTGTGTCCCAAGTTTTCATCCCTAAAATGACTCCACAGGATGGCTTCAGGATATTCTTCTGTGCCCGAGGGATGAGGCCCAGGGGACTCTGAGGGATGAGGCCGGTGCTGTTTGGGGTGCAGGGGTGAGCCCCTAAAGCAGCATCCATCCACCACTCCCTGTGGCCAAGCTCCTTGCCCAGGGAACTCCTGGGCTGGCAGGAGGTGGCCAGGTGCCTTATGTCTCCTCTCCCCATTTTCCCAGTCCTCCAGACCGCAGCTGCTGACTTTTTCTCCAGACCCCAGCTGTCCCATCTGAGCCCTTCTTTCTGTCTAGACAGAGGTGGCCCTGGCTGTGCCTCTCCTCTGGAACCCATGGCCCGAGGGGCATGCTTGGCAGTGGTATGGAGTGCACAGACCTGCTTTCTATTCTTTTTTTTTTTTTGAGATGAGTCTCGCTCTGTTGCCCAAGCTGGAATGCAGCAGTGACCTTGGCTCACTGCAACCTATGTCTCCCAGGCTCGAGCAATATTCTTGCCTCACCCTGAGTGGCTGGGATTACAGGCACCCACCACCACCACCAGCTAATTACTGTATTTTCAGTAGAGATGGTGTTTCACCATGTTGGCCAGGCTGGTCTCGAACTCCTGACCTCAGGTGATCTCCCTGCCTTGACCTCCCAAATTGTTGAGATTGCAGGCGTGAGCCACTGAGCCCAGCCCTGTTTTCCATTTCTGAATCACATATGCAAGTCTGTGTCAGCTTAGCTGGGAGGCGCCAGAAAGTGGGCCCTGGCATGGAAACCCTGAGAACGAATCAGGGCTGTCCGAGTGTGAGGTAAGTGGCATGTCCAAGCAGTCACAAAATTCCAACCCCACTTACTCTTTTTTTTTTTGTTGAGACAGGATCTCACTCTGTTGCCCAGGCTAGAGCACAGCAGCACAGCCTTGGCTCACTGTAGCCTCGAACTCCTGGGCTCACGGGATTCACCTGCCTCAGCCTCCTGAGTAGCTGGGACTACCAGTGTGTACACCACCACACCCAGCTAATATTTTAGCTTTTGTAGAAACTGGGTCTCATTATGTTGCCCAGGCTGGTCTCAAACTCCTGGGCTCAAGTGATCCCTCCACCTCAGCCTCGCAAAGTACCGGGATTACAGGCATGAACCACCATGCTTGGCTCAACCCCACTTTCTTATGATCATGGCAGGTCACCCAAGCCTTCAATGGCTCCCCAGGGCCAGTCACACTAAATCCCAGCTCTGCCCTTGCTCATTGCTGCTGCCTTGATCTTCTTTCTGGCCTCCAGGACTGTCTGCTGGGACCATTACAGTAGTCTCTTGCCTGGTCTCCTGCTCTCCCAGTCTTGCCCCATCTGGTCTAGCTTTTCCCCCTAGCAGCAGACTGAGCTTTCTAGAACCCAAATCTGACCACGTCCCACCTCCACTTAGAGTATGTCACTGGGTCCCACTGCCCCCAAGCTAGTATCCAAGCTTGCTCTCAGCCTGGCATTCAGGATCAGCTGCCTTGGATCTGCCCCCTGCCAACACCTCCCCACCAAACTCCACACTCTGACCCAGACGAGCCATCATCCCCATCACTCCCTCTCATGTCCCTCAAGCCTGACCTTGACCCTGGTCAGCTGTTTCCCACACCCCGAATGCACTTCCTGTCCTTCCCATCAACACCAGCTCTTCCTTCAAAGTTGGTCCCAGTGGTTGTCCCCAAGAGGGGTCTCCAGGATTCTTAGTGACAACCAACAGAATCCAACTGTGGCTCACTTAAGCAGAAGAAAACGTATTAAACAGATATTGGAGTATAAAAACTCCCAGGAAGGCAGGAGGATCCCATGGAAAAGGGGAGGCAAGACACCCCTCTTCCTACCACAGAGCCAACCTGGCGAAGTCCTCCTTCTTCACAGCCACCAGGAACTCTATGTGGACCAGGCTCCCTCCAGAAAGAGTCCTGGACAGGACAAGCCTCTAACTCAAACTCCAGAGCAGGTGCCTCTGATTGGCAGAGTCCAGTCACATGCCATGCCCTAGCTGCAAGGGAGGCAGGAAAAGTGGGTGTGGACTATTTGTGCTCCTCCCATGGAAGGTGGGCTCTGCTTGCCCATTGTCCTATGTGGGAGGAGTTTCCTAACTGGGGGTGGGAGTTCAGAGAGTGGGGGCTCATAGACTAAGGCTCTGTACCTCCCCAAACCTCAGCATTCCCCATCTCAAGAGAGGCACAGTCAAATATCTGATGACTCAGTCCTTGACACAGCCCTCTGCTGCACCCCAAGTCCACAGGTTCAACTTCCTGTGCTTGTCTTGCACCCATGGGCATTTCCACATCTCTTCTCCCTTCTCTTTGCAAGCTTCCCTGATAAGCCTCCCTTCCAGTGGAGGAGACAGGCACTGAAATGATGAGGACAGCCCAGTGTGATACATGCTGTGAAGGGGACATGCAGGGAGCCTAGAGGAGGCGCCTGGTCCAGCTGGGGGCATCTGGGAAGGCTTCCTGGAGGTGGCACTGCTGAGTGTTGGAGAATAAATAGGAGTTATAGAAACAAAGGTGTTAGGCCAGGTATAGTGGCTCACATCTGTAATCCTAGCACTCTGGGAGACCAAGGCGGGCAGATCATGAGGTCAGGTGTTCGAGACCAACCTGGCCAACATGGTGAGACCCCATCTCTACTAAAAATACAAAAATTAGTTGGGCGTGGTGTCACATGCCTGTAGTCCCAGCTACTCGGGAAGCTGAAGCACAAGAATTGCTTGAACCTGGGAGGCAGAGGCTGCAGTGAACTGAGATCATGCCACTGCACTCCAGCCTGAGTGACAGAGTGAGACTTGGTCTCAGAAAAAAAAAAAAAAAAAAAAAGGAGAGAGAGAAAAAAAGGTGTTGGAGGCTGGGTGCAGTGGCTCACGCCTGTAATCCCAGCACTTTGGGAGGCCAAGGCGGGCAGATCACGAGGTCAGCAGATCAAGACCATCCATCCTGGCTAACATGGGGAAACCCTGTCTCTACTAAAAATATAAAAAATTAGCTGGGCACGGTGGTGGGCACCTGTAGGCCTGCCCAGCTACTTGGGAGGCAGAGGCAGGAGAATGGCGTGAACTGGGGAGGCAGAACTTGCAGTGAGTCAAGATCGTGCCACTGCACTCCAGCCTGGGAGACAGATGGAGAAAGAAAAGAGAAGAGAAGAGAAGAGAAGAGAAGAGAAAGAAGAGAAGAGAGAGAAGGAAAAGAAAAGAAAAGAAAAGAAAAGAAGGAGGGAGGGAGGGAAAGAAAGGAAAGAAAGGAAGGAAGGAAGGAAGGAAAGAAAAGAAAGAAAGAAAGAAAGGTGTTGGAGACATCATCCCAGGTGGAGGCAACAGCTTTGCAAAGCCACAGAGGTGCAAGGGGGAGTTCCAAGGAGTTCTGGCATCACCAGGAGTAGTGTGTGAGGCAGAGCTGTCAAGAGATGAGACCACTCAGGGTGGAAGGTACCCAATCTCTGCTGGCTTATGGGGCCTGGCTTTGAGTGAGAGCTGGGTGCCAGGGCAGGGGAGTGGCATGGTCAGATGTGAGCTGAGAATGACCCCTTGGAGAGCCTGACCTGGGGACCAGCCAGGGGTGTGGCAGGACTGTGGGGACCAGGAGAGCGACTCGACTCGGAAGACTCAGCTGGCTTCTGGTGGCAAGCAGAAGTTCGCCACTGCTGCTGGGGCATGTCTGAGCAAGGCAGAGAGACATGGGCAAGTCCCTGGCCCAGTTGGGTGTCCTCAGTTTCCTTATGTGTAAATAGAAGGGTGTAGTGATCTCCAGGCCAGGGGCTGAGAGCCAGAGAGGCCACCCACTTCCTGCTCCTGTCCGCCCCACTCCCACTATGTACCAGGAGCTGGGGATGCAGTGACAAGAAGTGGAAGCCACGGCCCAGCTCTCACAGGCAGTGGATCCAGGAGTGGACACGCAGTGGTGACCTAGGTCTGGGCTGAAGAGGCTTTTCCCAGCAGTGTGTGGCCCAGCATGCTTAGGAGAGATGCACCAGGAAAGGGATCTTAGCCGTTGACAACTGCCCTCCCGTGACAGCCCCACTGGGGCCAGGTTTCTTGGGACAATTGATGCCATCATTCCGGGAAGCCTACCCCAGGAGAGGCCCTGATTTCCCCCCATTTGCATAGCCACAGTAACAGGAAACAGGACTTACATTGCCTCATCAGTGCGGGCTGGGCCAGGCCAGGCCAGCCCAGGGCTCAGCTTGGATGTCCCAGCCTGGGTGCCTCCTGGACAGCTGGCAGAAGCTCCATCTGGGCACTCCATCCTGTGGTGGCCAGATAGGTGGTCTGGGAGCTCCAAGGCTGTTCCCAGGCCCACCTGGATGTCCAACATGAAGGCTCCAAGCAGCTCAGCTGCATCCCCTGGGGAGGAAGGGGGGCTGTCAGTGTGACAGCTGGGTGCTCCACCGGGGTCAAAGTGCGCCGTGTTACTGCCAAGCTATCCTGGTTCCCAGAAGTGATGTGTAGAACTTCCTCCTGCAAGGAGAGCGCCTATCTGCTACCTGGCCCCGCTCCATCCTCTCCCAGTTTCCCCCGGCTGCCTTCCAGAAAGCTGGGCTTTTAGCAGGAAGTGTTTCTCAGATGCTGTTCACTGGGTGCTGGATGTGACCCAAGGCTCCACGTGCTGAGCTGGGTCCAGAAACCAGGAGTTTGGGGTGCAGAGAAGGGGCAAGCCTGGGTTTAGCCTCATCAGAGCCAGGTGCCCCTGGAGCCCTGGACCTCCTGGGCCTCAGTCCTCCCACATCTGCCATGGGGATACTTATGACTACCTCTCAGTGTTGACAGGAGGCACTAAAAGGGAAGGCGCTGTAGCAGTGCTGGTGGCTGTGATCCTAGCGCTCACGTCTGCCTTAGTCGCAATGCTCCGGCCGCTTTGGGGCAGCTATTGAAAGAGAAGCCAGATTTTAACATTACATGAAGAGGCAACGTGGTAGAAGGTCAGCCCTGTCCAAGATACCCTGTGGACACTGCCTGACCTGGGTTCGGATCTTGGCTGTGCCACTTGCCGGCCGTAGGACCCAGGGTGAGCTCCTCGGCTTCCCTGAAGCTCAGTTTCTGCATCTGTAGAATGGCAATGAATAGCGATGCCCGTCCCTTAGGGCTACGGTGAAGAGTCAGTGAGACACCGCATGAAAGGGATCCACTAAAAGGGAAGGTGCCGTGATGAGGGGGCCGTGAGCCCACCGAGAGGATGTAAAGCTCAACCCTATAGCAGCTCCTGTGGCAGAGGCTGGGGTTATGGAAATGAGCCCCCGTGGCTGTGTTAAAAACCCCCCCCCCCCCCCCAGAGAAGTCAGAGGCAGTGAGGAGGCAGGAAGCACTCAGTCCTAGACTAGGGATCCAGAGAAGGGCTGAGGAAGGCACATGCCTGGCCAGGGACATCTGAGGAGGCTTCCTGGAGGAGGGGATGTCTAAGCTAGTGTCGAGGATGGACAGGTTTGGCCCCCAAGGTGAAATGTCGCATCCCAGGAGATTAGCTAGCCTGGGCAAAGGCAGGGCAACCAATGTTTCTCTGCAGGTGTGGAAAGGACAAGCCACGTGCTTGAGGGATCACCCACTGCTCCCCTACAGACCCCTGACTCCACCTCTCAGAGTCTTGAGCCTCCAGTCATGGGCACAGTCATTCTCTCCCTCACTCCAGGTCTTCAGACCCCTAGCATTGGGGATGCCCCCTTTCCTGGCATCACAGGAAAAGCAGGACAGTGGTGGCACATACCTGGTGGTACGGACCCTGTCCTTCTCCATGGGCCCCTGCTCTTCCTCCTCAGCGTCATCGTTGCCAACACTGTAATTTGTAACTGTTTTCTGGTCATTTTTCTATGCAAATAATTTTTGAATGAACAAAAATGGGGTTATGGCTTCCAGACTCTTACAACTTGCTTTTTCTGCTAAGGATACACATGCCATCAGCATTTTCCCAGGGAAGCAATACTCCAAATCACCATTTCATTTTATTTATTTTGAGGCAGAGTCTCGTTCTGTCGCCCGGGCTGGAGTGCAGTGGTGGCAAGATCTCAGCTCACTGCAACCTCTGCCTCCCGGGTTCAAGTGATGCTCCAGCCTCAGCCTCCTGAGTAGCTGGGATTACAGGCGCGCGCCACCACGCCCAGCTAATTTTTGTGTGTTTAGTAGACATGGGGTTTCCCCATGTTGGCCATGCTGGTCTCCAACTTCTGACCTCAGATGATCTGCCTGCCTTGGCCTCCCAAAGTGCCGGGATTACAGGTGTGAGCCACCACGCCTGGCCTCCACATCACCATTTTAATGGCTGGGGGCAGGGGGTGGGGGATGGGATGCCCCATGGCATAGATGGACCGTCATGAATTTAATCAAGTCCGTAATCTCAGCAAACGTTTCTTCAGGAGGGTGAGATGTGTGCAGCCAAGAGTACAAGGGTCCAGAGTCCTTTGGTTTTGTTTCTGACTGCACTTTTTTGTATTTAAAGAGATGGGATCTCACTATGTTGCCCAGGCTGACCTCGAACTCCTGGGCTCAACTGATCCTCCTGTCTCGGCCTCTGGAGTAGGTGACTGTACTTCTTAGAGCCATGTGACTCTGGGCAAGTTACTGAACCTCTCTGTTTTTTCTTGGTTTCCTGAAAGATGAGAAACAGAGGAGCCCCTGCAGATGCCTAGTCATGAGACTCCCTTGAGATCTTGTGTGTGTGTGGTGCTTAATTAAGCACAGTGTCCTGTAGACGACAGGAGGTGCCACGTGGATGGGGCAAGGGGTATTGTTGCTGTTTGTTGTTGCTATTTGGGCCAGGTGTTGATTTCATAGTCTGGAGAGTGAAGGGCTCATGCCAAATGGCATGAGTTCAGAGTGACTATGAGGGTTCAGTGAGACCTTGGTGCCTCTTCCCCTCCCTGCCCGCTTCCGCAGAAAGCATCTGAGTCCCTTGCAGGGGGCAGGTCTTCAAATTCCCAGAACCGTCTGGGGCTGGTTGACCTCACAGGCCAATTACACCGGTGTCCCAGGAGTCTAGAAAGACGTTCTAGAAAGATATTGTCTGGGAAAAAACCATACTGAAGTCTGCCCAAAATGCCACCATCACCCACCCCCTTCCTCTGGGTTCAGCAATGCTCTCTGCCCCGGTTCCCCCTTGCATGTTAAATTAATGCCCCAGAGAAGCTCTGCAGACGGCCCCAGTGACAGCCACCACTGGAGAGAGAGACTCCCTGGATGGATGGACAGATGGATGCAGCCCCAACCCCCCTACTCCCCTGGGGCCCTAGCCAGAAGGCAAGAAAGCCCCTACTCAGCCTCCAACTGCTCAAAATCCCCAGCACCAAATTCCCCTGGCCTGGGGATCGCCAGGAGGGAGGCCTGCGTCCCCAGTGTTGGCCCCACCTCCCTTCCCCAGGGGGGCAGATGCAGCCTAGCTTTGCTCTAGCATCCCCTGGGCACCTCTGTTCCCAGACCAGGAGCCTCCCTCGGCCTCAAGCCTGGACACCCCAAGGCTCTCCCAGGCTTGGATGGCAGCATCCCTGGCTCTCCTTTCCAGGCTGCTCGGCCTCTCTGAGCCGTGGTTTTCTGCAAAATAGGAATAATGGGACTATTAGATCGAATGACACATGAGATTGCCATTTTTGCGGGTCAAGATGAGACAGGCAATCAGCAATTTCCTATGGTTTCAGCAGACGGCTGCCTCCGGTAGGGAGCTGAGGACTAAACGAAGAAACGAATGAGCAGCCCTGGGCACGGAATTTGGCCCAACAAACTTTTCATTGTCAATCCTATTATTTATTGTGGTGGATGGGGCTATCCCTCTCCCACTTCAAGGATCACCAAGTCCTGCCACTCGGGCAAGGCTTCTTCTGAGGCCAGGAAGGTGCCAGGGAGCCCTCCCCGAGTCCTGCCCACAACCCCTGACTCTCCAGGCTGGACACTCCTTGCTGAGTCTTTTAACTGTCATTTCCCCCGAAAAGCCCTTAATCACCCTCTGCACAGCCAGGGGGAGGAACTGGGAGCTGCAGGAGCTGCAGGCTGGCCTGCAGGAAGATGACTCAGGGGAATCCTTCGAGCCCCTTGGCACGATGTGGGGGTGTGATTAAGGGGGGCATCACAGGTGTGCGCCATGTGTCGTCACCTGACCTCTAACCTTTTTCTGAGCTGGAGTTACTGGAAGCTGACTCAGGGGGTGGGCCTCTCCTGCCCTCCCTCCCCTCCCCAGGGCCAGGTCCCCTCTCTGTGGTGCTGGGAGGCAGGCCCTGAGCATTTCATTCATTGATTCATTTCTCTCATTTGTCCATTCATCGTATCAGATCGATCATTCGTGGCTCACTTGTGTGACTAATCTGTAGGTCCGGCCCTTCATTCATTAGTAATAAACTCCACGACCATTCGCCCAGCCTGTCCTCAGGGCCAGCTGCCCTGTCAAGTGCGTTTTCTTTTTTTTTTTTTTTTTTTTTTGAGACGGAGTCTCGCTCTGTCGCCCAGGCTGGAGTGCAGTGGCCGGATCTCGGCTCACTGCAAGCTCCGCCTCCCGGGTTTACGCCATTCTCCTGCCTCAGCCTCCCGAGTAGCTGGGACTACAGGCGCCCGCCATCTTGCCCGGCTAGTTTTTTGTATTTTTTTTTTTAGTAGAGATGGGGTTTCACCGTGTTAGCCAGGATGGTCTCGATCTCCTGACCTCGTGATCCGCCCGTCTCGGCCTCCCAAAGTGCTGGGATTACAGGCTTGATCCACTGCGGCCGGCCAAAGCGCATTTTCTCATTCAGTCCTCTCAGTGCCCAGGAGGAAGAGCTATTATTACCCCTATTATATGGAGAGGGAAACTGAGGCATGGGAAAACTCAGCAACGCCCTTTGCTGGAGTTCGGATTCAAATCCAGGCCCGCTGCTGTCTCTAGAAAAAAAAGTCACCGTCCCCCAAACCTGTGCCTCCCCTTCTGTGTTCCTGTAGCCACATGGCCGGGTAAAAGTTATTCAGGCCAGCCTCACCCCAGACTGTGACCCACGAGGGCAGGGACCTCAGCTCACCACCTGGGTCCAGCACATGCCCTGGGAGAGCCGAGTGTCTCTTTAGGCTACGTAAGAGCCCCCAAATCTGAATTCCATCCGCTGTGCAAAGCCAAGCTTCCCCCTACAGATCTCAGAGAACTTCCATGGACTTACGTCCTCACAGCCTCTCCAGCTCCAGGCTCCCAAATGCACAGAACTGGACCGGTTTTCCGATAGTCCCACCTCTACACATGGGCTGTCTCTGCTCCTCAGTCCCGTGGACCCCAGCAGAAATGTCAGCTCTTCCCTGCATCCCTCAAAACAAAACCCATGCTCCCATGAGGCATTTGTGAGAAGCGGTGGTGACTGAGGATTTGGGGGTATAAACGGCGAGGGGGTTTTGCAGCTGCAGAGCTGCGATTTCGTATCGACATCAGATCTATAAGCCACTCCAGCACAGACCACCCAGATGGACCTGCTGTGCCTGACGCTCTGTCTGTGGATTCTCCCGCGTGGTGGATTTTTCTGGTGGTTTCTAAGCTTTATAGTGAGCTCATCTTCAGCAGGGAGATTTGCCGTGTATGCCTGTGCACGTTCGGGCTCCCACACGCCTCAGGATGGACGTTTCCCAAAAGGGATGCGTTGAGTTTGAGTAACACTCCAGGGATTTCACCAGCTGGGGACCTGCATTCACACTGAATTCCCGGCATGAGATTCTAGCAACTCAGAGCAGAATCAACCCAGACCTCAGTCTCCCATGCCCTGCCCCACCCCCACACTCCCTGAAATGCTCAGGGCCTGCCTCCCAGCACCACAGATAGGGGGCCTGGCCCTGGGGAGGGGAGGGAGGGCAGGAGAGGCCCACCCCAAGTCAGCTTCCAGTAGCTCCAGCTCAGAAAAAGGTCAGAGGTCAGGCTTAGACTTTCAATGTCTTAGACTTCCAATGTCTTAGACTTCCCGCTATCCAGTCTCGGCCTGTTCCTAGGCTGGGCACAGGGTGATGTACCCTCCCATAGGATGGGGGAAACCCTTCATTGTCCTGCCTTCATACTGGGGTTTCTGTTCCTGCTCCCACAAAAGTCATGACCAGGGATCAAGTCCAATCTGAGTCCCTTTCCCCTTCCCCACCCCACCCTTCCACCTTGAGTTCCATTTTTATTATTGACCCCTGAATTTGCTTTTCTTTGAGTTGTTTTTTACTTATTTTATTTTTGAGGCAGAGTCTCACTCTGTCACCCAGGCTGGAGTGAAGTGGCGCGATCTCGGCTCACTGCAATCTCCGCCTCCTAGGCTCAAGGGATTCTCATACTTCAGCCTCCTGAGTAGCTGGGATTACAGATGCGCACCACTGTGCCTGGCTAATTTTTTGTATTTTTAGTAGAGATGAGTTTTTGCCATGTTGGCCATGCTGGTTTTGAACTCCTGACCTCAGGTGATCCACCAGCCTCAGCCTCCCAAAGTGCTGGGATTACAGGTGTGAGCCACTGTGCCTCGCCTCTTTTGAACTTTTTAAAAACATTTGTGGCCAGGCGTGGTGGCTCGCACCTGTAATCCCAGCACTTTGGGAGGCCGAAGCAGGTGGATCATGAGGTCAGGAATTCAAGACCGGCCTGGCCAAGATGGTGAAACCCTGTCTCTATTAAAAATACAAAAATTAGCTGGGTGTGGTGGCACGCGTCTGTAATCCCAGCTACTCGGGAGGCTCAGGCAGAGAACTGCTTAAACTTGGGAGGTGGAGGTTGCAGTGAGCCAAGATTGGCAACAAAGTGAGACTCCATCTCAAAATAAATAAATAAATACATTGCAATTATTTATTTAATTTTTAGAGACAGGGTCTTGCTCTGTTGTCCAGGCTGGAGTACAGTGGCACAATCACAGTTCACTGCAGCCTCAACCTCCGTGGCTCAAGTGATCCATCTGCTTCAGTCTCCTGAGTAGCTGGGACCACAGGTGCGTGCCACCATACCTGGCTAATTTTTTTGTTTTTTTTGGATAGAGATGGGGTCTCGCTATGTTGCCCAGGCTGGTCTTAAACTCC